GAAAGAAAGAAAGAAAGAAAGAAAGAAAGAAAGAAAGAAAGAAAGAAGCCAAATCCCACTCACGTGGAACTTTGCTGTCAGTAGCCAGGGGAGTCACTCTTTCCACCTCTGTGCAGCCCTTTCTGAGAAATCAGGCTGGGGAAGAAAAAAAAAAAAAATGTCATGAAATGCCATGGTCATGTCACTGTCCTCAATAACAGTGCAATCTAGGGGGGCGCCTGGGGTGACTCAGCTGGTTGGTTGTGCAAGAGACTCTGGATTTCGCCTCAGGTCGTGATCCCAGGGTTGTGGAGCCTGTTAAGATTCTCTCTCTCCCTGTGCCCCTCTCCCCAACTCATGCATGCTCTCTCTCTCTCTCTCTAAAATAATAATAATAATAAAAATGCAATCTGGAAGCAACCCTCATCTCCAACTAGACCCCAAGACCTGACATCTAACGCCCACCTGCTTGTACTCACCCACCTATGTCTTACATTTTCCTTTAAGCTCTCTTTTCTAGCTTACCTCTTAACTCAGGCGAATGAAACCGGAAACCACCTCAGGTGATGACAACTGCCCTGACAAGACCTGCCGCAGACCCAGACCACCCAGAACTTCTGCGCTAGACCCCCAACTCGTGCCTGCACAGAAGGACCATGGAGTGGCTTCTGGACTGACCTACAATTACCTTTACCTCATTACAATCCTAAAATCTCTGCCCAAGGAGGAGCCTTAGCCTCATGTACATAACACACAACGTACAGGCATGTTTCCTTAGGGCGCATGCTCATCCCTATGCCTGCCTCTACATACCATGACAAGCCTTCCCTATTTTTTTTTTAAACATTTTTTTTCAACGTTTTTATTTATTTTTGGGACAGAGAGAGACAGAGCATGAACGGGGGAGGGGCAGAGAGAGAGGGAGACACAGAATCGGAAACAGTCTCCAGGCTCCGAGCCATCAGCCCAGAGCCCGACGCGGGGCTCGAACTCACGGACCGCGAGATCGTGACCTGGCTGAAGTCGGACGCTTAACCGACTGCGCCACCCAGGCGCCCCAAGCCTTCCCTATCTAAATATCCATCCTAACCCTAAACAAAAGGAACCCATCCACCCTCTTTTGGGGATTCCCGGCTGCGGAAGCTATTCCCCTGTGATTTCCTTCTTTGCTTGCAAATCAAAGTTTTCTTTATGCAACAACTCAATCTGATAAGGTTTCTGAGTCACCAAGGTGGGAACTCAACCTTAGTTCCATTTCTACCCACACCTTCTGAAAAGAGAGATTAGAAGGGGCCCAGGATGGGGCGCCCGAGTGGCTCAGTCAGTTGAGCGTCCGGCTTCAGCTCATGATCTCACAGTTTGTGGGTTCGAGCCCCACATTAGGCTCTGTGCTGATGGCTTAGAGCCTGGAGTCTGCTTCGAATTCTGTGTCTCCCTCTCTCTCTGTCCCTCCCCCACTCATGCTCTGTCTCTCTCCCCAAAACAAATAAAAACATTAAAAAAAATTTTTTTTTTTGAAAGAAGGGGCCCACGGGGCGCCTGGGTGGCGCAGTCGGTTAAGCGTCCGACTTCAGCCAGGTCACGATCTCGCGGTCCGTGAGTTCGAGCCCCGCGTCGGGCTCTGGGTTGATGGCTCAGAGCCTGGAGCCTGTTTCCGATTCTGTGTCTCCCTCTCTTTCTGCCCCTCCCCCGTTCATGCTCTGTCTCTCTCTGTCCCAAAAATAAATAAACGTTGAAAAAAAAATTAAAAAAAAAAAAAAAAAAAAAAAAAAGAAGGGGCCCAGGATGATCCAGCAACCTGATCCAGCAGGAATCAGAGAAGAGCAAAGATCACCGCAGTTGGATATGTGACCCTAACCTGGGGACTTGACTGATGCTCGGGAAATTAATACCAAAAAGAGATCACCATTCACCATACGCCAGGAGCTGTTTTGAGATTTTTATTTCCACAGCCATAGCTGGCGAGCGGGGGCGGGGTGGGGAGGAGGGGGCAAGAGCATCTGGCTTTGGGGAGGTCCCAAACAGACCCCATTTGGTCCCTCGCTGCTGACAAAATCCGAAGGCAGAGAATCTAGTCCAGGTGAATAAGAAAAGAATTTATCTCAGTAAGGCGAACGCCAAAAGACTGCAGACTAACGGCTCCAAGACTGTCTTCAAAGTGCCTGAAAATACGTCCAGGTTTATACAAGCAAAAGGTGGGGTGAAGGCGGGCGGGTACTGCAGGTGGGCAGCGAAGGTCAAATGGATTACTATCTTGGGGTCAATCACAAACGGGGTCTTGCTGGCGCAGGGCAGCCCTTACGGCTTGAGGGGTTAGTTTAGGTTCTCACCAGGGGCTGCTCTGCCCTCAAGGCTGTGCCACCTGCGCCAAGAGACAAGCTGGAAAGAAGCCAACCAGAAAGTTTGAGGTCAAAATGGAGGCAGCTGAAGTCCTCTTTCACCACCTCTTACAATCCTGGAACACCAGGAAGCACAGGCACGCGTGGGTGTAGGGAGGCGGACGGGGCGAGCTGAGACAAGCAGAAACTCAAGCCAGGCGATAGGTGACCCCACCCCACGCCCCACCCCGGGCCTCGGGACCCACCACGAACGCAGAGACTCCCCCAGAGACGCACACCACTGCCTTCCCCCCCGCTAATACCTGCGTGCTCCGCTCAGGCTTTTTATCCCCCCTAAGCCGCCCTGTCGCTGCAGGTTCCAAGCACAGATTCAGGAAGTTTGGAAGCGCTGGGAGAGGCGGAACTGACGCACCGCTCCCATAGAAAATTCAGGAGCAACTCCCACTCCCCCAGCGGAAGTGCCCGCGAGAACCTGGAGCTTCTGGACTACATCTCCCAGGATGCACCAGACCCGCCTTCCTGAGCGGAAGTGAGCGCGACTACACGGAGCGCGGGGACTACATCTCCCAGAATGCTAAAGGCAAAACGTTCTTAGGCTCGCGCTCCTAAGCAAGTTGAGGCTGCTGGCAGCTCCTTGTCTACGCTTCCCCAAATGCCAGAATGGAAGGGGTCACGCAGTCCCGACTTCCTAGGTGGTAATACGGGTTTCCATGTTAAGAGTCTGCGTTACCTCTGCCTGAGTCTTCAGCGAAATTATTCCATGGACACGACTTCCGAATTCGAAATGCCTCCAATTGTGACAGGAGTGTTGTTGGAAAGGGATTAGGTGAGGAGGTGCAATCTTCAAGAAATTAACGGGGAATGATTGCTTAAGGGACACTAGACGACTGAGAGGGGGAGGATGTTTAATGTAATCTGACGATATGAGGCCAAAACAGAGTTCAAAGAATGGGCGAGGGAGAATTATTCGGGAGGGGCGGTGAGAAGCGAGGAAGTTACCCGCTTCTACTCCAGACACACCACAGACTTGGGAGGAATTTAGGGCCCAAGTGGAAGCTTGTCCGCATGGAAAAGCACGCTTCCCTTATTTAAACTGTATATTAAAATTGTTATCCCGGGGTGCCTGGGTGGCTCAGCAGGTTAAGCATGTGATTCTTGATTTTGGCTCGGGTCATGATCTCAGGGTGGTGGGATCCGGCCCCACATTGGCCTCTGCGCTGATCAGGGAGCCTGCTTGGGATTCTCTCCTTTTGCCCCTCCCCTATGTGTGCGCTCTCGCTCACTCTCTCTCTAAAATAAATTTTTTTTTTTTAATTATCCCTACTTGGGAGGTGAACATGTCAAGCTTCTGTGAAGTTACAAAATTGTCCAGTATCTCAAAGCAAGGGTAATAGCTGCAGAACTTGACATTGGAGTTATTCTGACACCCAAAGCCCATGATTTAAAGGCAAATCACGGAGGAGGATTCTGTAGGTGAGAGAGCATATTTTAGTATTGAGTTTTTTCCTTTATACTTTCTGATAAAAATATCTTATATTTTATAGTTGTTTTATTGCATATAGTTAATTTTAAAAGATGTATGTTACTAAAAACTAAAAATAGTATGAAGCAAAATAAGAAAAATGCACCTAGAATCCTTCCTCCTAGAGATAAAAATTGTCTCCCCATAAACATATATCAATATATATCTATATCTAGCTATCTATCAACATATATATTTAATTTTTATTTATTTTTTATTTATTTTTTATTTTTTTTCAACGTTTATTTATTTTTGGGACAGAGAGAGACAGAGCATGAACGGGGGAGGGGCAGAGAGAGAGGGAGACACAGAATCGGAAACAGGCTCCAGGCTCTGAGCCATCAGCCCAGAGCCCGACGCGGGGCTCGAACTCACGGACCGCGAGATCGTGACCTGGCTGAAGTCCGACGCTTAACCGACTGCGCCACCCAGGCGCCCCATTTTTTATTTTTTTTAAATAATTTTTTTAATGTTTATTTGTTTCTAAGAGAGACAGATGAGCAGGGGAGGGGCAGAGAGAGAGGGAGACACAGAATCTGAAGCAGGCTCCAGGCTCTGCGCTGTCAGCACAGAGCCCGACGCAGGGCTCGAACTCACTGACTGCGAGATCATGACCTGAGCTGAAATCGGACGCTCAACTGACTGAGCCACCCAGGCGCCCCTATCTTTAATTTTTAAAATGAAGTCTCAGGGTGCCTGGGTGGTTCAGTTGGTTGAGTGTCTCGCTCTTGATTTTGGCTCAGGGCGTGATCTCACGGTGGTGAGATCAAGCCCTTTGTCAGGGTCTGTGCTGGGTGTGGAGCCTACTTAAGATTCTTTTTCTCCTGCCCCTCTGACCACCCCCCACAAACACACAATCTCTCTCTCTCTCTAAAAAAAAAAGTAATTGAAAAATGAAGTCTCATGTTCTATATCCATATAAGCTGAACATTTTGTAATACCAGTTTTGAAAGTCTAGGGGCGCTTGGGTGGCTCAGTCGGATAAGCATCCGACTTCAGCTCAGGTCATGATCCCGCCGTCTGTGAGTTTGAGCCCTGCGTCGGGCTCTGTGCCGACAGCCCGGAGCCTGGAACCCGCTTCGGATTCTGTGTCTCCCTCTCTCTCTGCCCCTCCCCTGCTCATGCTCTGTCTCTGTCTCAAAAATAAATAGAAACATTTAAAAAAGTTTTTGAAAAAAGTCTAACTCCTTCCAAATGATGGCTGTAGAGTGTTACACTGGATGGACTGAGAACTAAAAACGAAACAGCCCGACATCTGGAAGCTGGTGTAGCCCTCGAAGCTAGGCCATGTTAGTCTCCTTTGGGACATAAATGAATCACAGAATACCATCCTCGAATGAGCGTTCTCTGAGACCATGGTAAAGTGAGACGAAACAAGTCCCCTTCTTAATTTTGTTGAGATGCACACAAAAACGAGGTCACTGTGCCATCACACAATGCCAAGCATCCCTTTTTTGCTAGATGGGTGACTGCTACTTCTTTGTCACTTGGACCTTTATTTTTGTTCCAGGCTGCCTTCCCAAAAGGTAACACCTATTGAAATACTCACTCTTAGAATTCCTCCTGCTTTCCGACAGTAGTTCATCTCCAGGAACCCTGCTTCTTTAGGCCTTCCCTAAACCACCCAAACAAAGCTCAAATCCTAGAATAGATTCTTTCTGACACCCTCTTTCCCTCGTGACACTTCATGGTTTTCCCTGGTGGGTGTACTCCACTGCAACAAATAGTAAGCCCAACTGGTGTGTTTCTGGATGAATTAAGCGTTTTGGCACATCCCCTGAGGAGTAGTAGGTTTGCTATTGTATATGGTCCTTAGGCCTGCTTGCAAGGCTGGATTTTGGCTGGTGTCAGGGAACAAGGATTTGGGAAGACTTACTCCGTCCATCACTGGTCAGAGCTGTTCACTGTGTCTCAACTGCGCAACAAGGTTTCTTTTGAACATCCGCTTTCTGTTGAAGGTTTGAATTTTGTCACGTGCTAAGTAGATGGCGCCTACATGACCAGCCCTCATTAAGAACCCTAGGTTCTAGGGGCGCCTGGGTGGCGCAGTCGGTTAAGCGTCCGACTTCAGCCAGGTCACGATCTCGCGGTCCATGAGTTCGAGCCCCTCGTCGGGCTCTGGGCTGATGGCTCAGAGCCTGGAGCCTGTTTCCGATTCTGTGTCTCCCTCTCTCTCTGCCCCTCCCCCGTTCATGCTCTGTCTCTCTCTGTCCCAAAAATTAATAAACGTTGAAAAAAAATTAAAAAAAAAAAAAAAGAACCCTAGGTTCTCAGGGGCACCTGGGTGGCTCAGTCGGTTAGGCGTCCGACTTCGGCTCAGGTCATGATTTCACAGCTCGTGGGTTCGAGCCCCGCGTCGGGCTCTGTGCTGACAGCTCAGAGCCGGGAGCCTGCGTCAGCTTCTGTGACTTTCTCTCTGCCCCTCCTCCACTCACACGGTCTGTGTCTCTCAAAAATGAATAAACATTAAAAAAGGAAAAAAAAAAAACAAAAACAAGAACCCTAGGTTCTCAGGGGTGCGTGGGTAGCTCAGTGGGTTGAGCATCCGACTTTGGCTCAGGTCATGATCTCAGTTTGTGAGTTCAAACCCCACACTGGGCTTGCTCCTGTCAGTGCAGAGTCCACTTCGGATCCTCTGTCCCCCTCTGTCCCTGTGCCTCCCCCACGCATGCTACCAAAAATGGATAAATATATTTTTTTTAAAGAACCCCTTTTAAAACCCCTTTCTTTTGCAGTCCTATTGTAGACATTTCACACATGTATTCTTTCACTGAAATATAGTCCTAAATCCAACTATATTCTGTGTCCTCTCAGCAAGTCACAGAACCTGAAGGTGGTAGAAGGGACCCTCAAGCCACTACGCAAATTGAGATAGCATGGATCGCAGTATCTAGTATTCTGTGGAGATACAGCCCAGAAAATTGATTATGAAAATGAATCTGTTAGATACACTTTGTAAGTAAACCCCTCAGTCAATACACTTAAAATATCACCATGGCATCCACGGAGTGTGGAATGGCATCCAAAGCTTCTTTCTCCTTAGAGGCTCCAATGCTATAATGCTCTGTAAGATCCCTACCCATGCACATTTTTTCTTCAAAGCCTTTTTCTTAACCTCCACAACATAACCACTTTACTATCTCCAGTATTTGCCTGCTCCCTGGCTTATGCCTCAAGATGAATCTTGTGCATCAACAACAAACATGGTTGACCATACTCATTAGTTTATCTGTGAATACAAATTGTGTCTTATTCCTTAGTTTTGATCTTATCTGCCATATGATAATGCAGAACAATCTTAGTAGGTGACCCAACTATAAGGGACTCCTAATCATCTTTCAAATTCTATTGTAATTTGCCAGTTTGATCAAATCGATGTTCACTGAGAAATAAAAACACACAGTAGAATTACAGAATGGAAAATGCCACCAAATACTCCTTGCCAAAGAATACCATTTAGAGTATCCATTTCTATGTGATGTATGTCTATAAACACATAATACACAGAATTATGAACTTATTACACTATGAAGGCTATGGTCTGATTTCACAAAGCTTTTATTATGTTCTTCTCCTGCTATTACATGTCCTTGACATTAATTTAATGGCCCCATGTTATTACGGGAATATATGAAATTTAAACAAATTCTTATTGAACACTTGTTATATCCATTGTTAAAACTCTGTGACATTACTGATGTGGTATTCATCTTTTCATTGTTTGAATCTCATAGTATGTTTCCTATAGTACGATTTCCAGATCGAAGTTGCATGTTACACATTCTGAAGTATACTGCTTTTCAAAAAAATGTTTTTATTGTCACCAAGAAAAACATATGTCATTTCTGCACCCTGTAATTAATGTATTTGATGCAATCACCAAATCCCAAATTTTTCTAGTATTTATTTTCACGGGGATGAGGGGAAAATATGGGAAGCTGACAAATTAAATGTCCTTCAAATTGGCATAAATTTCTACCACAGAAGTTTGATTAAAAAAAAAAAATCCTAGGGGCGCCTGGGTGGCGCAGTCGGTTAAGCGTCCGACTTCAGCCAGGTCACGATCTCGCGGTCAGTGAGTTCGAGCCCCGCATCGGGCTCTGGGCTGATGGCTCAGAGCCTGGAGCCTGTCTCTGATTCTGTGTCTCCCTCTCTCTCTGCCCCTCGCCTGTTCATGCTCTGTCTCTGTCCCAAAAAAAAAAAAAAAAATCCTACAATTAGAAGGCACTCATATCAAAGACTACATGGAAATGCAGAAATTTAAAACTCAATGACAAATTCAAAATTAAGAAAAATGTTTTTATCACTACTATATAAATCTGATGTTTTTAGTGTTTCTTTGAACCCTTGCCTTAACTTTGTTGAGAAAATTCAATTAAGATATGTGCAGTGGCCAGTTATTGTGAAGTTAAATTGTTTCAGTCTGCAATGTGAGCAAAATCACAAGAGTTCAACTGCTACTGCGTAAACCAATGGGATATGAGATCAAGACATGAAAAATAAGAACTCAACCTCAGAACACAGGCTGATAGCCAGAGCCAACCATAATAGGAAACTACCAAAATAATGCTGTGGAACACAGTACTCAGTGTATTTCTGCATTTCAACTATTTGTTCCTCAGAATTATTTATTAGTTTTTTGCTGGTTTCCTTTTCCAGATACAATTTGTAAAGATTGCACATTTTGCCTCTTTGGTTCATTTAAAATATTTTATCACTTTTTGCCATTTTAACAAATATGTATCTTGGTGTGGACATCCTTGGGCTGATTTTTTGGGTGGATCTCTGCCTCCTCGATCTGGTTATCTGTTTCCTTCCTCACATTAGGTAAGTTTTCAGCTATTATTTCTTCAGGTAAAATTTCTGCCCCCTTTTCTCTTCTTTTGGGGTCCCTTTAATGCAAATGTTATTATGCGATTATGCTTGATGGAGTCATTGAGTTCCCTATCCTCAATCTCCATGATTTTCTTCCTCTCATTTGTGTGGCTTACTTTCCATTACTCTGTCTTCCAGGACATTCATTCATTCCTGCTTCATCTCACCTTCTTCTTATCCCATCAAGTGCATTTTTAATTTGTTGTGTTCATCCCTGCTTGGTTCTTTTTAATCTATTAAGGGTCTCAGTGATGTCCTCCACTCTTCTCAAACTAAGTGGGTATCTGTGATCATTACTTTAAATTCTCTGTCTGGAATATTACTTATATCCATTTTGCTTAGGTCTCTTGCTGTGGTTTGGTCCTGTACTTTCATTTGGGAGATATTCCCATCTCATTTTGTCTCCATGTCTATTTCTGCATATTAGGAAAGTCAGCTGTGTCTCTTGCTCTCGAAGGTAACGCCCTTATGAAGAACAAGTCCTGTAGTGCCCTGCAGTGCACGGTCTCCTGTTTCCTGGGACCTGTCGCTTCAGGGGCAGGGTCTCCTATGTGTGTTGCCTGTGCCCCAGTGCTGTGTCCTGGGCTCTTTTTTATTCAGTCTGGTCACCTGCAGAGGCTCTCTTTGCCTATTGTGGGCAGTGTTTGGTCCCAGCTGGGTAGAGCCCATTTTAATGATATGTGCTGGTCTGTTTGTGAAATGAGACCTGTTGAAGCTGCCACCTCTGGAACTGATGTTCTGCGAAACACACAGGTCAGGAGACAAGGTAGGCTTGCTCTGGTCTTCACAGTGCCGGGACTGAAGCAGGTGTGATTGGGAAAGGCAGACCCACCAGAGCACAGGGGGGCAGGGGCTGGTGTAACCAAGTTAGGTAAGGAGTGTGGGCGCCGTGCTGGTTCCAGCAGGTACCCATGTGCTTATGCTGGGGGGGGCCAGGGAGGGAAATGGTTCCCTCCTTTGTTCCCAAAGGAGTGTCCCCGTGATCCCTGCCTCTCCAGGCCACACTCAGTAAATTGCTGTCCCTGCTGTCTGCCCCTGGCATTTGCCAAACTTGATTCCTGGTTGTGTCTCCACCAGCTGTTCATCGTGCTCTCCCAGAGCCCAGCCCACAGACACTGGAAATCCAGGCTTTAAGTCCAGCTGGCTGCTAAGAACTCATGCCATTTGGCCCCTCTCGCTTTCAAAGCCAAGTGTTACAGGGATTCATCTTCCCCATGTGGGCTCCCCATTGTGACAGTCTGTTTTTTGTCTTCTCTACACCACTGGCTCCTTCCCCTCCACAGACGGCCAGTCTGGCTCACTCCCAAACTGCATCTTTGCCCTTCCTACCTTCTCTGATATGGCCTCTTCTACACCTTTAGATGTTGACTTTGTTCTGCCAGTGTCGGGGTCAATTTCTGGGTTATTTACACTGCTGATGTGAGTGTTGTCTAGTTGCATCGATGAGAGGAGAGGAGCTTAGCGTCCTCCTACTCCACAATCTTCCCTAATTCTCTCTTCCTTTTGATTCATTTAACAAATGTGTACTAAGTGCATACACAGAGTGCTATTCAATGCTGATTGTATAGATTCAGCAGCAAACAAACTCCCTGCCCTCATGAAGCTTCTATTTCAGGGGACATCGATTTTAACATCCACCATTAGAATCTGATAAAGGCCTAAAGAAATTGTTATATTTAGGCCTTTTTCTTGAGTGATAGCTACAACTGCCAAGGTTCTTGTACCTTGTACACCGCACCACTTATGTGACCTTGGGATCACCAGGATGCATTCAGCTACGGCTGAAACATTCACTTTAATGAAACAAATGTTTTCCCTCCTATGAGACAGAATGAGATTTATCCTCAACGTGGATTCTGTGATGAATTTTAACATACGAACTTGAACTGAACTGCTTACTGCATATCTCACACTTGTAAGGTTTCTCCCCTGTGTGAACTCTCTGATGAGATTTTAAATGTCCAGATTGACTGAAGACCTTACCACACACATTACATTTGTACGGTTTCTCTCCAGTGTGGACTCTCTGATGAACTTTAAGATTTGAGGTCCTAGTGAAGTGCTTACCACATGTCCTACAGGTGTATGGGTTCTCTCCCAAATGGACACTCTGGTGCACATCAAGATCCAAGCTCGTCTTGTAGCCCTTCCCACATTCCTCACATTTGTATGGCTTTTCTCTGGTGTGGACTTTCTGATGAGCTTGCAGGCACGATTTCTGACCAAATCCCTTCCCACATTCTTCACATTTGAATGGTTTTTCTCCACTGTGGACTCGCTGATGTGTCAAAAGAGGTGAGACCCACCTGAAGCTCTTCCCACATTCCTTACAATTATAAGGTTTCTCCTCTGTGTGGAACCTCCGATGATAATAAAGATGTGTCCTAGAAAAGAAGCTCTTTCCACATTCTTCACATTTATATGGTTTCTGTCCCATGTGGACCTTCTTATGGATACGAAGACGCGAACGCCAAGTGTAGGACTTCCCACACTCCTCACACTTGTATGGTTTTTCTCCCGTGTGGACCACACAATGACTATTAAGTGCTGATCTACGACGGAAGTTCTTACCACAGATATCACACTTGAATGGCTTCTCCCCGGTATGGACTCTCTGATGGTCCTGAAGATGGCAAGCATTAACGAAGGCCTTTCCACATCCCTCACACTTATAAAGTTTCTCTCCCGAGTGTAACCTGCCATGATTACTAAGTTCTGATCTACGACTGAAGCCTTTCCCACATTCCCCACATTTGAATGGCTTCCCTACGGTGTGGATTTTCTGATGAGTTTGCAGGCATGAGCTCTGACTGAATTCCTTACCGCACTCCTCACACCTATACCGCTTCTCTCCCAGGTGAACTCTCCGATGAATACGAAGCGCTGAGCTATAAAAGAAGCATTTCCCACACTCGCGACATGTGTGAGACTTCTCCCCTGAGTTTATGTGTCGAAGATCACAGTGGGAGGTATCACTAAAGATCTTTTTGCACTCATTTCCCAGGGAAGTCTTCTGGCCTGTGTGGGTTACAGACTGTGCTGCCTCACCGTGGCTGGGTAAATCCCATTGTCTGTGGAACTGAGAACTCTGTATCATGGAGTCGTGACACCAGGTTAAGTCATCTGCAATATGCTGCCAGATTTGCCGGCAGGAAAGTTCTTCATGTGGTTCCACTGTAGGAATAGTCTCCCTCTTGTGTTGGATTTTGTCTCCTAAAAGACAGAGAATGCAGAGATGTGGGCAAATGAAGGCTTTGTTCGGTGTCCTCAAGATTGAACAGTTGGGAAAGAGCATGAGAGTTTAATGAACCCAGGGAATATTCCCTACATCCTTCTAGTGTGTACCATGGTCTCTGGTTTAAATGCCTACAGAAACCAAGAGGTAATGCAGTAGGGCCCTATCCACTAAGCACCAATGAAACAAATTTAGAATCGTGCCAAGCCTCATATGTAATGGACAAGTTAGAAATCAAAGAATTAACAAAAACGATAATGATACGTATTAATTTTGCGACTTCCACTCAATTTCATAAATCGGTGTAAATTCTTAAATAGTAAAATATGCAGTTACAAATAAGTTACATAAACAACGAGGCCTGTCCTCAACATCAAAGAGACACTTCTAAGCCCCTGGAATGTCATGCCTGAAATGAGCGCGATAGGGACTTCAGTCACATTAGATTACTTTAACAATATGATTTAGGGATGACGCTGACCACACCAGAAAAACTAAGAACATGATGTTGGGCGGGGCTTTCAATTACCTGGTAGCGTGGACCAAGAGACTGAGAATAACCATATGAAACCATTCAGTCTATACTGAATGGTCATGTGACAGAGCTCCAATAATTACTCTGGACACTGAGGATCACATGAGTTCCCCTAATTGCCAATATCCTGTGTATAACTACACTTTCATTTTGGAAAGTAACACAATAACACGTCCCTGATTCTATGGAGACAAGAGAATGGAAACTGCATGTGGTACTTCTCTAAACTCTCTCTCCTATGCTTTTTCTCATGCCTTTCCTATAATAAACTAAGCATAACAGCTTTCGGTGAATTCTACCAGCCCTTTTAGAAAATTATTCAATCTGAAGGCAATTTTGGGAACCCCTCAAACTTTTAGTTGGTGTCAAGTACAGGAGGTCTGTGTGAACTGTCCCTCGAAACCTCACAGTTGCTTAGACTCTTTGCAATCCTATATATCAAGCACCCAGAACTGATTGTATCTATATGTTCTAAGTATTCCCGCAAATTCTATACAATATGTGTAGCTCATCTTATTTTTGTGCTAATATGTGTAGTAACTTAATTAAGATACCTGAAATTAAAAAGGGACCGGAAACTGCAGTTTTACTGTGAGGTCAGAAATTTGTACCCCACAGGAATACAAGGAGGGTGGTGCTCCTAATGAAAGAACTGGAAGATGGCAAGAACCGCGAGGGGTGGAAAGGATACATAAAGGCTTATGCACCGGTTTCTTCTGAGGCTTCTGGACTGTCTCATACTAAACAGAGTGTGGAAAATCTTTGGATGTAGAATATTGGGCTTTCACATGAGTTTTTCTGACTGAAAACTATAGCCTTTTAGTTGGCTGTAAAATAAATTTAAAATCATTCAATAAGCATTTAGAAAAAAAGGGACAGAAATCATCAGAGTATCATTATTCATAGGAATGGGGTGATTGCAAGAATTCTTATAAAGTTGTACACATAAATCTACACACAAATGAAATGATTCTTTTGGATACACTGAAAGATGCATTTCCTAGTAGGGCTTGTGCTCTAAAAAGTTTGAAAACTTAGTTCAGGAACTCAGCAAGTCTATAATTAAACAAAGTGTTCAAATGGAAAGTCCTAAGGGCAAAAACTTGGAAAAATATTAATAGGTGTGCATGCACCTCTTGGTAGATGCTAGTTTATGGTTATATTTAATAAACTGTCCCTTTAAAATAGTTTTCTCTGGGGCATCAGGGTGACTCAGTCGGTTAAGCATCCGACTTCGGCTCAGGTCACGATCTCATGGTTTGTGGCTTCAAGCCCTGCATCAGGATCTGTGCCCTCAGCTCAGAGCCTAGAGCCTGCTTCAGCTTTTGTGTCTCCCTCTCTCTCTGCCCCTCCCCTGCTCACACTTTGCGTGTGCGTGTGCGTGTGTGTGTGTGTGTGTCTCAAAAATAAATAAACATTAAAATAGTTTCCTTTGGGCGGGGGATATAAGAAGTCTCTCCAAGGATGTGACAATTTTGAGTGGGCTGTTTCCTGATACTTTCCAGGTTATAATGTTCATCAATTGCAGATGAAACAATAGGCTTCATGACAAATGTATGGAAATCACGTGAAATGATTATTCTTTAATGGCTAAATTTGTGGAAAATAAAGGTGCAGGAATAGATACCTTAATTTTTGACCAAAATGATCAGGTATAGACAACATTCAGCTGTGTGACTGGGGTTACTTTCGTCCCCTCCCCTTCTGGCACATGGAGAGGAAACCTGGCAACAGTAGGGTGGATGTAGGCTTTGTAAGATGCCAGTGTGCTGTAGATGGGCAAACTGCGCAAAACAAGACCTTTCAAGCTGATTACTATCTTGAGAGATCAGGAAGTTGAGATTTTTTTTTTTTTTCTCCACTTGTTGGGCAGCTATCTAGGAAAAGACATCAGAATCCTCATTTAAAAAAAAAGATTTTCTTGGGGCGCCTGGGTGGCTCAGTCGGTTAAGCATACGATTCTTGGTTTTGGCTCAGGTCATGATCTCACAGTTCGGGAGTTTGAGCCCCGTGTTGGGCTCTGTGCTGACAGTGCAGAGCCTATTTGGGATTCTCTCTCTCTCTCTCCCTGTCTCTGCCCCTCCCCTGCTCATGCTGCCTCTGTCTCTTTAAAAATAAACAAACTTTTAAAATATTAAAAAAAAAAAAAAGATGTTCTAGGGGTGCTTGGTTGGGTCAGTCAGTAAAGCACACGACTCTTGATCTTGGTGTTGTAAGTTCAAGCCCCATGTTGGGTGTAGAAATTACTAAAAAAAAGTATTTTTTTAAAAGAGAAGTATTTGGGGGGAAGAAGGAAGATGGCAATGGAATAAGAGTACCCATGAAGTGTCCCATGAATACAAGTAGATAACTAGGAGACATCCTAAATACCCCAGAAATCAACCTGAACAATGGCAGCACAAACTCTGTAACTAAAGGCAGAGAAGAAGCCGCAGAGAAGTCAGGAAGTGTGGGGACACAGTTTGGGAGAGAAACGGATCATGGCTGCTGTGGTGAAGAGGGAGCTGTAGTTGTGGAGAAGGGGGTGAGACAGACGAGCACATGGGAGTGCACGGGGAAAATGAATCCCCACGGCAATTGGCTTGGAAAGCAAGAGGGACCAAATTTCGTGAGTTCTTGCAATCAGCGGTGCTTAAAGCCTGGAGCTGTGAGTCAGCAGGCTTGGCTCGGGGACAGCCTGAAGTCTTTGGGGCTGCTCTTGGAAGGAAAGCAGGACAAACAGCCCACGGACATACAGCACGGAAACGGGAGATCTGAAGAGCACCTGGGGGGCACCTGAGTGGCTTAGTCGGTTAAGTGTCCGACTTCAGTTCAGGTCATGATCTCATGGTTTGCGGGTTCGAGCCCCACGTCGGGCCCTGTGCTGACAGCTCAGAGGTTGGAGCCTGCTTCGGATTCTGTGTCTCCCTCTCTTTGCCCCTCCCCTGCTCGTGCTCTGTCTGTCTCTGTCTCTCTCTCTCAAAAATGAATAAACATTAAAAATAAATAAATGAAAGAAATAAAAAGCGTACACATCAGTAAAGAAGAAGTCAAACTTTCACTATTTGCAGAAGCCATAATACCCTATATAGGAAACCTGAAAGATTCCACCAAAAAACTTCCAGAACTGATAAATGAATTCAGTGGAGTCACAGGATACAAATTCAATGTACAGAAATCCGTTGCGTTTCTACACACCAGTAATGAAGCAGCAGAAAAAGAAACTAAGGAATCAATCCCATTTACACATGCACTAAAAATAATGAGATACGTAGGAATTATGCTAACCAAAGAAGTGAAAGACCTATACTCTGAAAACCATAAAACACTGATGAAAGAAACTGAAGACGACACAAAGAAATGGAAAGACATCCCATGCTCTGAGACTGAAAGAGCAAATAACTGTTAAAATGTCTGTACTACCCAAAGCAATCTACATATTTAATGCAATCCCTATCAAAAGACCTGTCAGAATGGCTAAAATCAAAAACACAGAAGACAGCAAGTGTTGGTGAGGAGTTGTGTACTGTTGGTGGGAATGCAAACTGGTTCAGCCACTGTGGAAACAGTATGGGGGCTCCTCAGAAAGTTAAAAACAGAGCTAACCCACCATCCAGCAATTGCACTACCAGCAATTCGCCCAAAGAATATTAAAAAACTAGTTCAAAGGGATACGTGCATGCATCCCTATGTTTATAGCAGTGTTATTAACAATAGCCAAATTGTGGAAGCAGCCCAAGTGTCCATCAACCGGTAAATGGATAAAGATGTGGTATGTATACACAATGGAACATTATCTGGCTAGAAGAAAGAACGAAATCTTGCTATGGGCAATGACATGGATGGATCTAGAGAGTACAATACTAAGTAAAATAAGTCAAAGAAAGACAAATACCATGTGATTTCGCTCATCTGTGGAATTTAAGAAAGAAGACAAATGAACAAAGGGGGTAAAAAAAACAGAGACCAACCAAGAAACTACAGAGAAAAAACTGGTAGTTACCAGAAGGGAGATGGGGGGGGGTGGTGAAATGGCTGATGGGGATCTAGGAGTGCATCTGTTGTGATGAGCATGAGGTGATGTATGTAATTGCTGAATCGCTATATCGTACACCTGAAATTGATGTAACATGGTACATTAACTGGAATTACAATAAAAACCTTTAAAAAAAGAAGTATTTCTTTCCAGAAATGACTATGCCCCCTATAAAAGGAAAGCCATAGGGAAGGCATGTTTGCCTGTATGGTCACAAGCACAGTGCTTAGAAGTTTCCTTGTGAAAACAGATGAACATAAGGGAAGGGAAGCAACAATAATATAAAAACAGGGAGGGGAACAAACCATCAGAGACTCTTAAATGCAGAGAACAAACTGAGGGTTGCTGGCGGGGTGTTGGGTGGGGGGGATGGGCTAAATGGGTGAGGAGCATTAAGGAGGACATTTGTTGGGATGAGCACTGGGTGTTCAAAGTAAGTGATGAATCACTAAATTCTATTCCTGAAATCATTATTGCACTGTATGTTAACTAACTTGGATATAAATTAAAAATACATAAAAAGTAAATAAATAAATATTTTAAACATCAAAAAAGAAATTTCCTTGTGATACAAGTCAAGGGTACATAAAGAATCATGGGGCGCCTGGGTGGCGCAGTCGGTTGAGCGTCCGACTTCGGCCAGGTCACGATCTCGCGGTCCGTGAGTTCGAGCCCCGCGTCAGGCTCTGGGCTGATGGCTCGGAGCCTGGAGCCTGTTTCCGATTCTGTGTCTCCCTCTCTCTCTGCCCCTCCCCCGTTCATGCTCTGTCTCTCTCTGTCCCAAAAATAAAATAAAAACGTTGAAAAAAAAATTAAAAAAAAAAAAAGAATCAAACTTAAGTGTGATTACATCTAAATAAGTAGAAACCAGATAGCTGGCCATTTGAGGACAAGACATGTTCTGCAGTATCTTCAATTCACTCTGGTTTGTGGATCACTTATTAGAGGTTTCCATGAGTCATGGAGTGACTGGGTGAAAAGGAAGCCTACGCACTGGTTTCTTAGAGAAGGTTTGGATGTTTCTTTGGGCTGTTTCGTTGAAAATGGGGTGGAAAAACTTTGGACATAGATAAATTGGTCTTCAGCAGTTTTTTCCAAATTGCAAATGAAAGACCTTTTAGTGCACCAATAAATTTAAAAGCCTGTAAAAAGCGTTCAGAAAAATAAACTATCCTGCATCACCACAAGCAAGAAATACAGTCCATTTCTCCTATCCATTAAGTCCTTCACTAAGTCAATAAATATTTACAGGTATCTGCCATATCCCAGGACTAGTCTAGGCACTGAGGACACATCAATAATCAAATCAATCAAAATTCTCCTCCTGAAGATTATATCCACTGGAGAGAGAGGGGTAAGAGGCAAAGACATATGAGACACAATATAAGGCAGGAAGAGTAAACACAGCATTGTATTTTAAACAGACTGGTCAGAAGGCCTGTGTCATGGTAGTAAAACTCTGCAGAGACCAGAATGAAGAAGGGAAGAGCCGGCAGGAAGTTTTGGGGAAAGACTGTTCCAGGCAGAGCAAAGAAGTAAAGGACCCTGAGGGAGAAGCTTCTGTAACAGACTTAATGGTTCCTGAAAGATGTCCGCGTCCCATCCCCAGAACCCGTGAACTTTTGTTACGTTACCTGGGTTGCAGATGCAATGCAGGCTGCTGATCAGCTGATCAGAAAAAGAGGACGATCGTCCTGGATTATCCGGGAGGAATGTAATCAGAAGGGTCCTGAAAGGCAGCAGACACAAGAGGCAGAAGAGGGGCAGAGGGAGAGTACCCAAGAACGGTCAGGGAGATGCAGTGTCGCTGGTCTCGAAGACGGAGGAGGGAGAGGCAGGCCGCACATGCCGGGAGCCCGAGGGAAAAATCTCTCCCCTTGAGCATCCAAAGAGGAACACGGCTCCGCAGGCACCTTGCTATTATCCCAGGGAGATGTGTCAGAGTTCACACCTCAAGAACAAACACACCTTAAAATTTTGTCGTTTAGTCTACTACACTCACAGTAATTTGGAAAGTCAGCAATAAGCAAAGTACAGTATACTTGGCGGGTCCTGGTAACAGCAGGGAGGGCGATGTGGGTGGAGAAATGGAGCGAGAGGAGCACCTGGGTGGCACCATCGATAAGAGCATGTGACTCTTGATCTCGGTTGTGAGTTTCAGCCCCATGTTGGGTGTAGAGACAACTTAAAAATAAAAAAAAAAAACTTGAGGTGCCTGGGTGGCTCAGTCGGCTAAGCGTCTGACTTTGGCTCCGGTCATGATCTCACAGCTTGTGGGTTTGAGCCCCGCATCGGGCTCTGTGCTGACGGCTCACAGCCTGGAGCCTGTTTTAGATTCTGTGTCTCCCTTTCTCTC